GAGTGCTGATGTTTCTGTTTGGGGCCTCAGCTTTCCCTGCTCTGGCTAGTCCCTTTAACTTAGACCCACTGCACCAGACATGGCGTCTTCCTCTCACCCTTTACTAGTCCCACCCAAACCACCAGTCCAAATTCAAACAGAAACATCAGCACTCCAGCTATAGCTTAATTCTAAACACACTGGCTAGCTATTAAAACTTCCTCTCTATTCTAGTTCATAGCTCCCTACCAGCCCACAGCTCCTTACTTGCTGTCCTCAAGCATGGCAGATTCTCAGGCAGTCATCCAGCAACAGCCATTTTACAGAAGAAATCCTCTCCCTTTGACCTCCAGGACTAGACTGACTATCCTGATGCAGGTCCTGCCCTTTTCTGATCAGATGATTCCCTTAAGCTAGCCCCAGGTGCTTCCTAATTAGGCTTGCAACTGGTCTCCAGGGGAGCCTGCCTATAGTATTGCTTCATCCCCTATGCAGGGTTCTGGCCTATGGTCTTAGTGCAGAGCAACTAGCACTGCAATAGGCTTGTTCCTGCTCACACACAAGACTAGCTCTGTAATAGTCATTCACAGTACCTCACATGCCCAGTGAGCAATCTGAGCTCACTGGGCATACTCTCTGAGCTCACTGACTGATCACTGTAGCTCCCTGCCAGAGCTCAGATTGCTCACTGTACAAGATGAGCTCCAGCAGGGAAGATGAGCTCCAGTTGGATGAGCTCCAACATGCTGATCAATGGGTTAACTAAGCCCACAGAGCTCCCTCCCCCCAACCTTCAACTCCTCAGCTTACCTTGGGATGCTCCCAAGCTGATCTCGTGAGCTCAGCCTATGGAGCTCTGGCAGGAGCTGCATGAGCTGCACAGCCAAAGGGGTGTGTGAATGTACTACCCTAGCCCCCTGAATTTGTCCCTTGGGAGCCAACACTCACCATCTGTAAATTACAGGGAGGCCAGGATACTGCAAGACATGAGCATCTGCAGGAAGTATCAAAGTGTTGTCCAAACAGGTCTACTAGTTTGTTTTGGATCAGGGCCTAGCACAAAATTTGTGCATGAGCAATCTCAGAATTGGATTGCAAAGAGGCCTGGACTGGAACCATGTACCTTATAGGACTTGTATTGGAAATGTGCACAAACCTATAGGGTTCTATGCAACCTAAAATGCAGACACCAAACAAACTTATGCTAGTTTCAGGAATTCAGGGAGGGTGGAAGAAGATCATGCTGAGGTACCTGAACAGCTAAGAGTAGTAAAAAGCACCACTTACATGTTTGAAGCAGAATAGAACCTGGGCCACAGTCTCTACTTTTTTATTATCATGACAATATAATTATGCTCTTAAAAGGAAAAAAAAACTTCACAAGAGAAAACCCCCACAGTATTGGACTCTAACATTATTTGGAAATTATGTTAAAATAGTGAGTTATACCCTTTGATGATAGATGGCCAAGTCTTTGCTCAGAAGAACATGCAAGTAGTTTGTTTGCTTCTTCTAACGCACTTTTATACCATTTCTTTTGTCTCCTGCAGCACTCTGGCTAAGGAAATAAAGAGGTTTTTTTTTACTAAATACCTCAGTGCTGTTGTCATTTTCTATACTTTAAGTAAAAAAAAAAAATCAAAGTATCAAAAATATTAAAAGCCAGAAGAGACTTCTTCAGTCAAAATAAGTGTACTTGAAAATAATTCTGGGTTTATTCAGGTGTTTAAGGTACAATGTTATTGTAACTGGGCTCTCTCAACATAGAACGTTAATACTGAAGTGGTACTGAAGGTTCATTCCTGAAGTCCATTATATTTAATTTGTTACTAAATGAAATCAATGAGTTTTGAAATAAGGACTGTTGAGTGGAACCCAAGATAAGCTCCATGCAGTAAAATATCTACAGTATTATTCATACATCCTTTGAGGTACTCCAACAGAAAGTTTATCCTGACCTACAATAAGCAATAACTACAAAATATATAATTTTACCTAAAGGAACAACTGCCTGATGACAGTTTAACGTAGCTCTGAAAGAATATCGCATTTTCTCAGTACAATAAATGTTTGCTGTTTCACATGGTTTGTAAGTTTGTGAAAACTGGAAGCACAGCATAGTTTGTGTTGAGAAAGCAAACATGTCCTCTCAGTTAGTTGCCTGAAGATAGTAAGACATGGTATCTGTGGGGTGAAGATGTAAAAGCTAATTGGAATAAACAGGAAGAGAAAGAAAAAGAGAACATGCTTCTCCTGGGAAGGGTGGGTGAGAAGGATAAGTGCTGCCCTTGGAAAAGGTGAAATAGTAGAAGCATCAAAATGAGGCCCCATAATGTGATGGTTACAGATCTACACAAGATCTGTATGTGGAGGGCTGCCTTGAGGCTAAAAAAGGTTAAGAAACACTGATCTAGTTGGTGCCAAGGGAGGGCAGTGGAGGTAGGACCTCACCCTGCTATGCCCCACTCTTTCCACTGTGCAAACTTTCTCCATACCCCTGAACCATACCTGAGGGGATAAGGTTGGTCCCAGTGGTCAATGCTGGTCCCCTGGGATTGTGCATGCTGGTGACCAGAACCATCTGCCCCCATGACTCTTCCCACCAGTTCTGAGAATGTGAGAAAAGCCATGAAAGCAAGATGACCTGAAAATACATCCATTCACCCAGCTGCCCAGAACAGAGCATGTTGCTCAGTATGTTGGGGTGAGGGGGACAGGCAGTGCAGGTGTGCCAGAGAGCAGAGGAGGGCAGCAGTAGCAGCAGTCCTGAAAGGAGCAGCCATGGAGGTTGCTAGTCTGTGAGATGCTGCAGCAGGCACAAGAAGCCGGATGGGGGGGGGGGGG